ATAATAATAATAATAATATCCAAGCACCCAGGAAAGAAGAAGGGGGAAGGAGGACGCTGCAGAAGCACAGAAGGGTGAAAAGGTTTGTAGAGGATCTGAGTTTTGAAAGTAGACTTTGGGTTAAGGATTGCATCCCTTCTCCTCCATTAGTCATTTCGTTAAGCCATCCCCTGCTGTACATTGGATCCATCTTCAAGACAGCACATGGCTCATGAAGGCTGGGACTGTTGGGAGTTGTAATCCTAACAGATCCAAAAGCATCAGATTAAAGGGCTTTTCTTCTGGAGGTGCAGAAGAAGCAAAAAAAGAGAGAGAGAGAGAGAGAGAGAAAGTGCATCTTTTCAGTTTTGGTATTCCAGCAGGCAACAGTAACGGGGGGGGGGGGGGGGGGGGAGGACCAATGCCTTAGGAATCCATTTAAGAGACCTTCCTGTAGATGCTGCTGCAAATTGCATGCAATAAGGAATTCATCATGATATAGATTATAAACCCGAATCGTTTTTATTAGGTATAATATCAAAAAAACTTGATAAGAAAAGTATGTATTTAATATTACATGCCTTAACAGCAGGGAGGATTACTTTAGCACAATACCAGAAAAATGAAGATATACAGCCAGATGACATAGTTACCTGGCAGGGGAGACGCCATGATCACGAAGGTGGTTTTCCCAGGGTGAGGCTCATCCATTGCACTCCGGGTGTGCTGACCCTTGCGATTGACTGCATGGTTTGTGGTGGTTAAGAAGATACTAGATTGTGCAGAAATGGATAGACTGACATTGAAAATTAAGCAGAAAGAGAACGTAGAATATGGAATTTATTTTATCAATGGTTGGGAAAAAAGGGGTGGAGATTAAGAATGTAATTTGTATCATTAAGCAAATTAAATATCCAGGCAACACAATGTTTATAAAGCACTAAGAAATGTATCTAGTAGAAAATCAATAAGTAGCATTTCATAAGTAGCATTTAAAAATCTTCTTGATGCATTTTCTCTCTCTCTCTACCTAGTGGATCTTTTATTTGTCCTCCATGCCTTTAAGAAACTTGCATCCATGACTGATGGGAGGATGAAAGGATATTTGGACCAACAAGTGCCTTACACTTCTGCACAGGTGAGTGAGGACCGAGAATTTGCCCTTTAAGGCTTCTGATTTTTTCTTCTTCTGAGCAGTAGTTTGAGCACCTGGTACAGTGGTCTGTCTTATATTAACTTTAGTGCTGTTTGTCTACTTACAGAAACCAGCAGGGAATGGAACTATGGACAGCAGAGCTGTGATGACTTCACGGAGGAAATCCATGGACCCAGGTGTGTCCCATGTCCCAGATTCAGAAGGTGTGTGTGTGTGAGAGAGAGAGTGGGAGGAACACGGGCAGACATAGAGGGCATCAGAGACAATCCTGTTTCAGATGTATTCTAGCTTGAAGCTTCAAGCTGATTTGGAAATGTAGTGATATCCCAGTGCAATCATGCTTCCTATTTTGCAAACAGGGAATAACATAGTTTTATCATGGACCCAGATTCCCTAAGATTAATGTTCAGTGCATGATCTACCAAAGGCCATTTTTGGTTCTTTCATTTTGGATAACTGAGAAACACACTTGAATAATAAAAAATGTTGTTTCAGAAGCTGTACCTTCTTTCTTTGCATAGTCTTTGCCTGTAGCCTAGATGGAGAGCACGTCATAATTGCTGCAGTGCTGACCTGATGAACAGAATAAGGAATTTTGGGAGATCATCTCTTTGTCTTGGGAGAGCTACACCATGAGGATGCAGATCTTTTTTTTTACAGAACCCTCTTGGTGTGAAGCAACTGTGTCTTGCTTCCATACTACAAAGTCCTTGGACCACAATCTAAGAGAATTCTCTTAAGAACTCTCATCTTCCTGTTAGCCACCATATATATATATATAATGTTTAAGAGGTTAACATTCTCTGTTTAGCTTGAATGTTGATAATTAGTTTTTTTTTTTAATGGGTTCATTGAGGATACAAATGCCTTTTCTTTTAATTCAGAAAAAAAGTTTATTCTTAACAGCTCTGAAATGAATCTTCCATAATTCTGCAGTGGCTACGGCACTGGATGCTTGTAGGCGGTATAGCTGCTTTCTATTTTAGTGAGCCAGTTCTGAAAACACGGATCAATTTAGAAAAATCAGTTTTACCTGACCAGCTTTTTTCCCCTGTGGGATTAGTGCAATTGTGAAGAAACAGCTGCTAGAGTTGAGCTTTCTTTTTATTACCATTCGGGAGAGGACTTAAACATTTTTACTCGTGCTAGAGTTGGATGTTTTAGGATTGTGAGCTTGGAATAAAATGCCCTAAATTTCAGAATGTAGTCTCTTAAGAGTTGTTCCTGGTGGGGCTATTTTGGTTAAAGGTTTGAAACAAAACTATTTTGTTTGTTTCATGATATCCTTAGATTATATTGGACTTCTATAATGGATTTGGACCTCCTTGTTATTTCCCTTTGACCCAGTGTTTCTCAACTTTGGTAGCTTCAAGATGGATGGACCTCAACTCCAGCTTACCAGCTGGAGAATTCTGGAACTTGAAATTCACCAGCTTCAGAGCTGCCAAGATTGAGAAACGCTGCCTTTTTCTTTCAAACATTCTTAACTGATCCAGAACTACATATTATGCTCTGCTCCATTTCCTTGCAGATCTCTTCCTTGATCTAAACCAGTTCCAGGAAACTTGGCTGACTGAAGGTAAGGCTAACTAATGGATCTTTCTTTGTTTGCTGCCTCTTTCCTTGTCATGCCCATTATCATCATCTTTTAAGTATCTTTCCTTTTGCTTCCATCTGCTTTCAGTGTAACTGAGCCTGAGTAAATTCAAGAATATGAATGGCATCATTGTGTTGGTATTTGCTTATGAAAGGAACTTGGCAAAGGGCCTTCAAACTTTCCAGCCCTCTGGAATGATGACTGTTGACCAGTGCAGTTCAGCTTCCCCCCTTGCTAAAACCCATAGAGCCCCTCCCTGCTTTAAAGCTTTTGAAAGAGGGTGGTTTAAAAATGGAAATTGCCTTAGAATCGTGTTGGTTTTCATTACTTTCTGCTCTTTTTTTACTTCCATTTTGATCAATATTAACCTGGGATGAGAACCCTCAAATCTGCTCATTCCCTAGGTGGCCAATTAAGATACATAGTAGCTAATTGCAATTTGGAAATGGGTTTTGTATTTTATTTTTGAAAGTGTGGGCCTGGGGACATGGCATTTTGAAAAGGTTACAGAAGCTATCTGCGTGTTTACTTAACATGCATTGTTCCTCTGCTTATCTGAAATTGGTGGTGCTCTCTGAAACAATAGCAAAAATGGAGTAAAACTGAGCAGCTGATCAGCAGTCAGATTTTTTTTTTTAAAAAAGTATATAATATGGAAGAAGGAATTCCATATTCATGTATATGTTCCGGTATAATTCTTTTTTTAAAAAAAGTTAAGTAAATACTTGTCAGTACAACTGATACTCCAATAGAGTTTGGTGATGTCTAATCTAGAATGTTGCTAACAATTTCTTTCTTGCAGTTCTGGTGCCTAAAAATTGAGAATTTGCTACTGTGATTGTGAAATGAATATACTGAAATATTGCATTTATTTTATACGCTACTTTTTGAAAGTAAACCATGGTTTTAATGAAAAACTTGGAAGATGTCTATAACTCCAAACTGAGCCAACTTAAGCAAGAACATATACTTACAGCATTTTATTTCCAAATTTTTGTATAAAATATTAAGACCACACTAATGCTATTGACAGCAAGAGGTAGGATATAGAATTGAAAACATGCACTAATAGTCCTCAAAATCACAACCATAATTGAATCTGGAATTATGGTTGTTGGTCATTAAGCAGATCACCATGTGACCATGCCTAATTTTAAAACCTTTTTTTGTGGTGGCCATTAAACAAACCCATTATCCACAATGTGTTGTTGTTGTTTTTTGCCATAAACTGGAATAAATGCCACTTTCTGGCAAAAAAAAAAAAAACCATTGTAAATCATGGACACATGGACACTGCAAACAGTGTAAATGTTGGGTGGTTGTCTGAATTTCAAATTCAGGATGTAAGTCATAGCTTCAAATGATTCCTGAGTGACTGCTTATAAGTCTTCTTCTCACACATAACCATGAAAACTAAATGCTTGCTTTCCTCCTTCTTTTCCTTGAAAGAAAAAAAAACCACGCAGATGTTTAGAACTGAATTTGAATTCTGGGATCTTACGATTTGCTGATGACAGCAAATAATTGAGAACAAAGACAGGAAAAATGAATTGTTATTTGTGGTTTCTTTGGGGCTACAAAATCTTAAATAGAAAATATGATTATTTTTTTTCCAAATTAAGACTTTTCTTACACTTCATGGTGCATAGTGTTAGGATTGGGAACAGTTTGCTCTTTATTTTGATACTTTATATATTTAGATTTGTTTATTCAAGTGATTTATATGGTTGTCAATCTGGCAGCAATAACTCTGACAGCAATAAACAGCCATTTAAACAATCTAAACTAAGGTTCCTAGAAATGTTACTTCCCCCCCTCTATATTCATCTTTTATGTTAAAAGATATTTCAGCAATCATAATAATGTTAATTCTGAAATCTAGATGTGTGGGATTTAAACTCTTCCCATTCCCTTCCAACATAGTTGGTACTGGATTACCTAACTAATCTAGAAATAACCAAATTTGTAACCAAGTTATTTTACATCCCTTAAGAGGATATTGACAATTTGGAACAGTTTGTTTTAGCAGCTCAGCAGTTTCAAAAAAACAAAAACCAGGACTAATTTTCCGTAGACTTAAAACAGAAATTGCACCAAGCCAATTGCACCTTGTTCATTGTGGCTTGCTGGAGAATTACCTACAAGTCACATGGTTTCCAACTGTAGTGGCTACATGATAATCATATGAGTTATCCAGCCACATATATGCAAAGCTTAGAGACAGTGAAATGAAACAAGATATGCTGATGTATCATCCCTGGAGCTCAGATCTAGATAAGTTAAAACTATTGCAAGTAAACTGAAGTAATTGTATGTATGCATAATTGCATTTTGAATATCAGTCTAAGATTCTAAATGGATCTAGTGGAAGAGAGAGATTGTTCAACTCCAGTGTTTTTCACTCTTAACAATTTTAAGGTGGGTGGACTTCAACTCCCATAATTCTCCAGCCAGCGCTCTGACTGGAAAATTCTTGAGAGTTGGAAGTCCACAAGTCTTAACATTGTTGAGATGGACAAACATTGCTCTACTCCCTCTCTCCAAGGCCATCTAATATAAATCTTACTTAAAAACTAACCTGTGAAGAGAATGTTTGCCTGCATTGTTACTTGCTGAGGAAGAAAGGTTCTGTACATTTAGTATTAAAATACAAGCTACTATTTGGTTCATTAAAAAAAATCCCTTTAATAAAATGGACTAGCAGAGAAAGCCATGGAGTAATTTTCCTTTTTCACTAACCTATTCATTTTATTTTATTTTTTATTTATTAAATTAATTTGCCGCCTATCTCACTTTGGGGCTACCCTATGTGGCTTTCAACCATAAAAAGGAAGAAATGAAAAGAGTGCAAACAAAATTAAGGTAATAGAACAATAAAATAAACAATGAAAAAACCCACAATGAGAATACAGACAGTCCTCAACTTAGAACAGTTCATTTAATGACCATTCAAAGTTACAACGGCACTGAGAAAAGTGACTTATGGCCGTTTTTCACGCTTACCACTATTGCAGCATCCCCCGTGGACATGTGATCAAAATTCAGATGCTTGGGAACTGACTTACAATTTACGACGGCTGCAATGCCCAGGGGTCATGTGATCAGCTTTTGTGACCTTTTGACAAGCAAAGTCAATGGGGAAGCCAGATTCATTGAACAACCATGTTACTAAATTAACAACTGAAGTGATTCACTTAATGTTGGCTAGAGAAGTCGTAAAATGAGGCAAAGCTCACTTAATAAGAGTTTCACTTAACAACATAAATTTTGGGCTCAAGTGTGATCGTAAGCCGAGGACTACCTATACAACAACACCAAAAAAGATTACCAATGACCAAAAAAGAAAGATGGATAGGTAGAGAGCAGAGAACTGGGAGGAGGGAGGTAGATTCTGCATTTGACACTCAGTATTGGCTTGCAAGGTCATCCTCTGTAGTACTCAGTTAAGATTGCCTTACAATTTAAATAATCTTGCAGAAATTAAATTCTTGATCTATTGGGAAAGAGGCTGCAAACCTATTTAGGAACGATGTGCCAGGGAGGCTATTGAAAGAATAGAGGTATGTGTTTGATGGGAGTGCTGTCCACAAGCCAAAACCACAGGGAGCAATGGCTCTGCTGTGACTGCTAGCTTTTGTCTTTATTCAGCGAAGTTGGAAACAGGTGGTTTTATCTGTTTTTTAATTCTTCTCTGTCAACATCAAAGGAAGAGAATGCTGAGAGCTGCTTTGGGGGATGCAATGACTTGAATAATGGGTGCCATCTAGCCACTTCTTCATTATGTCTTAATAGATAACAGATAATCAGAGTTGGAAGGGACCTTGTAGGTCATCTAGTCCAACCCCCTGCCCAAGCGGGAGACCTTGTACACCATGTTCTGACAAATGGCAGCCCAGTCTCTTCTTGAAAGTCTCAAGTGATGGCACTCCCACAACTTCCAAGGGCAAGGTGTTCCATTGGTTGATTGTTCTCACTGTCAGAAAGTTTCTCCTTGTTTCCAGGTTAAATCTCTTGTCCTGTTTGCTTCCCAAACTGAGACAAGCATGTTACTGAAGTGGATTGTGTGGTCCAGGATGGGTGGTGGAATGGGCCGGAGTTTTATCTGAGATTATAATTGTTTATCCTGATAAAAGGCATGCATAGCAGAGATTGGATTCTTTACTTGAATTAAATGGGTATGCTAAAGACTCTGAAATTATTTCTGCATGAGTTTGAGGCTTTATTTTATCTAAAATAAGAGAAGTATAAAATTACATAAACAACTGGTTGGAATAAAGAATTATCTAACACAAGACTTACCTAGCAATGGTTAGAAATGGTTTCTGAAAATGTACAGAGAGGTCATGATGGACAGAAAGATTCCCCATTGCTTGCTTCCAGTTTTTTGACCAAAAACTGTATTTTAAAATTGTATTTTATTTAACTTTTGGTAAAAGGGTTGGGGCTACTGGTATTTTCCATGAATTACTTCCATGAATAAATTGAGCCTTCATTGAACAGATAAAGCATTTATTTATATCTCACCTGTATTACTTTTATAAACAACTCAAGGTGGCAGATGTGTCTAATAATCCTTTTTCCTCCTATTTACCCACAACAACAACCCTGTGAGGTGGGTTGGGCTGAGAGAGAGTGAGTGACCCAAAGTCACCCAGCTGAGCTTCATGGCTAAGGCGGGACTAGAATTCACAATCTTCCATTTTCTAGCCTGGTGCCTTAATCACTAGACCAAACTGACTGATATCATACCATGGGGATGATTAGTCTAATCCCTGTGCCTCAAACATAAATGTGGATTTCTCAAATATTGTACCAATAGTGCTGCTGTGATCATCTTATCTCTGGGAAAAATGTATTTGTTTAACAAACTATGCGTGAAAAGGTCTTGACAGCTTTTTATCCCTTGCATGATGGCATTAGCAGGAACAGGATAACTGCAATGGAAAATAATTGAAGAAAGAAGGGGATATTTAATCTATGTA